TAAAAAAAAAAATTTAAAATAAAAAAAAAAATCAAACGCAGGACCTTTTGCTTGCCAGGCAGGCACTGTGCCACTGAGCTACATCCTGGGCCCCAACCTGGATGTATCTTAACTGTTCTGTACAATTATTTTTATAGTTTATGTAGCCCACTTTCAAAATTATTTTTTCTTTCTTTTTTTTTTTGCGGAACCAGGGATTGAACTCAGGCCCTTGTACTTGCCAGGAAAGCGCTTATTCTACTGAGCCATCTTGCCGGCCCCCAAAATTTATTTATTTTATAAAAATCTCCAAGGATAAAAGGGATTTTTATGTCACATAGTCAAGCACTTCTCAGAGAAAGTATATCACAAATCCAAACTGTTATCCTAAATCCTACACAAGGAGGGCTGGCCGAATAGCTCAGCAGATTAAAGCACCTGCTTAGGCAGACACAGGGGCTGCGAGTTCCATCTCTGGGCCTGCCCTACCGGCCCTGCCCCCAGGGTGCACTGAGACAGCAATTGAGACTGGGCTTGGTGGTGCGCACTTGTAATCCCAGCACTTGGGAGGCTGTAAACAGGAGGATCACTATGAGTCTAATCTACACAGTGAGACCCTATCCACACTGTCTTAAATTAAAAAAAAACAAAAAACAAAAAAAAAACCTAAATCCTACATGAAATTATTTACCTAACTTCAACAGACCCCTCAAACTAACTCAAGGGGCTCCTCATGAGAAGGCACACAGTGTAGGTTGTCAGTGGGAGTGTGGCGGGCCCCAGACCACTGGACTGATTGAGGCAGTGGCCTTGCCCCCAGTTGCCCTGCTTCACTGCCCTGGACCAGGGTGACTCTTACCTGTTGAGGTCCCAGATTCTCAATGGTGAGAAGTGGTTACAACAAGCTGTCCCCGTCACAAAGGAGCTGCCAGACAAAAGGAGAACACAGTTAAGATCTGGTTTGTCAGAACTTGCTGCAGAAATGGCTATACAATTGGCAATGCAGAGCACATTCCATGAGGGTAAGCCAGGAGGAGAGAAGTAGCAGATGGAATGACCAGAACAACTGTGGGATGACAAGCTGAAGTGCGCATGGGCTGTCACGTCCCAGGGCTGCCTGGGCAGAGGACTCCCAGGGTCAGAAACAGCTGCTCTTGGGGCCGGGGAGATGGCTCAGTAGAATAAGCGCTTGCTGGCAAGCGCAAGGGCCTGAATTCAATCCCCAATTCCGGAAAAAAAAAAAAAAAAAGAAACAGCTTCTCTTGCTACTGAGAATGGGTTGGGTCTCTTCCCTACCTACCAGCAGATAGGCAAGTTGAGTCCACGGAGCAACCTGTGGGGCTGCAGCAGCGTAAGCCCTGAGCATGCAGGGCCACCTGTGAACCTACTGCCGGGGGCAGAGGGCCATGACCAGTCAGGGTGGGGGACCAGGAACCTGCCTGAAGCCTTTAAGGCTTGGGTGAGCCTGGCAACGTGGCAGAAGCTCAGGGCAGGAGTAACACCCTGCTCTGAGAACAGGACAAATGGGAAAGATAAGTCCACCTATGTGTGAGTAAACAGTACTGCGCAAGGTGGGACTCAGGGCCACTGGGCTTGGGGCAGAGGCCAGGAAGAGTCCCCCAAGGACACTTCCAAGAGGAGCTGAAAGGGAACACGCTGCCCCTGTTTTTCAGTGTGTCTTAAATCCCTGAAGCTCAACAGCTCCCCCAAAGTTGCCCGTTGAGGACAGGCACATACCCACAGGAGGCACCAGTGTAATGAGAGGTGCTGGGCCAGCTGCAGGGCCAGGACTGCAAGGGCCAAGCCTCTGAACCCAGCCAGGCCTGACAGAAGGTTCGGCGGGCGGGGAGGGAAGCCTTCCAGAAAGCCAGGCTTGAAAACGTAACTGGCAGGCAGGAAAGCTGTGTCAAGTGGCTGTGTCACTCAGAAGCCCCGAGGCAGGGATGGGCTGTCCCCACGCGTCTTATGAGAAGGGAGGAAACTAGACACACTAATGACACATTAGCCTCTTCTCCCAGCACCTGGGAGCGCTCTCGCAAATGTGGCAGTAGGAGATTTCCACAGGGAAGGCACTGCGGAGCAGGCATCCTGGGCTGGGGTGAGAAACTGGTGCCAGCTGCTGCTGAGGGAGAAGGTGTGGACAGTCATCTGCCAGACTGCTGGCTCAGTGCCAGAGCTGCAGGGCCAACTGCTTGGGCAGCCCATGCCCTTGTTACCCTGGGCTCTCACACCTCAAGCCAGGACTTCCTCCAGAGACAGCCCATCATCCCAGCTTTCACTTGACCCACAGGACTGCCGAACAGCCACTCTTCCCATGCCCTGGGAAGAAGCCACTGGATACACATTACAAAGCCAGGATGTGGTGCCCACACATCCCTCCTTCCCACAGTCCTCCCTCCAGGCTAATCCACTGATAACTGGGAAAGCCCCTTATCTTAGGTGGGCAACAGAATGACTGGGCTCTCCAGACTCTTGAGGAGTGGGGCCCAGGTGAAGGGTGCCAGCACAGGCACACAGGCACCTTGCAGAGACGCCCACGGTGGGCCTCTGACTGCCCACAGTCCAGGGGAAGTCAATGGTGACAGGAAGAGGAACCTGGACCTCCAGCCCTGCCATCCTCCCAGCTGGCCTCCCAGCAGGCAGTGTGGGGCTGGGGGATACAAACGCTTTCCCGGGGACTCCTGTCCTCTCCCTGGCCTACCCAACCACCCAAGAGGGGGCCCTCAATTTCATAACCTATGAATGGCTTTCTCCACTGACAGGAGACACCTAAGTCTTCCTTTCCCAAAGCTCCCCTTCCGCTCCCTGGGAGGCAGTAGGGGGCAGAGAAGAAGAGCGAGCAGCACCTTCCGGGCGCTTAGGAGGACCTAAGTTCACTTTCTGTGAAAGTTAGAAAGCCACCTGAACAACCTGTGAGCAGACTTTGAGTCCTGCTGGGGCCCACTCGGCTCCCACCCAAGCCGGGAGCACGGCTCAGGGTGCCAGGGGCCAGGCTGGCCGCCACGGCCCTGCACGCCCCAGACTTTCCCAGCTATCTGTGGCCATGCTTGGCTCCACCCCACTCCCCAGGTACCATGGACCCTAGCCAAGCGCAGTCTTCCAGAGTTTGTGACAGACACATGGGGCAGAGAAAGAAAGGGACCCAAAGGACACTGGCCAATTTTTTCCGTGTTACAAAAGAGGAACAAGGCAACAGCCTAGTTTCAGGGAAGCTACCAAGATATTGCAGCTGCACACAGGACCCGTGACCCCCACATCCTCTCCCCTCCCCAAGACTGCGCCCAAAGGGCATTGCCAGCGGCTGCTGAGGGGTGCGGCCCTCAAGGCACTCTCCCACCCTCAGCTCTCAGAGCTTTGAGGACCCAAGAGATAGCTCAGCAGACTAGGCACCTGCTTAGGGAAGCGCAAGTGCAGGGATTGGGGTTTGATCCCCCCGTACTGCACGCTCTGACCCTGGGCACACTGAGCAGGCAACCATGACCTCATTAGTGTCTGGGGGTGTGGTGACACATGCCTGTAATCCCAGCACTGGAGAAGCTGGAAACAGGAGGATCACTACAAGTCTAAGCTGCACAGTGAGACCCTGTACAAAATGTATTTTTTTAAAAAAAGTCACACTCTGCTCTCCTGCCCTGGGCCTGTGGATTCCTTCCACATCCCCCTCCCTGCTGGGTCCCATAGTAAACATGTCAAAGGCGCTCAAGAAGAAATACCTGCCAAACTACAAAATGAAAACATAGAAGCAGGGGCGAAGGCTCCGCAGAAAAAGTGCTTCCCTGACAAGCGCAAGGGCCTGAGTTCAATCCCTGGTTCCGCAAAAAAAAAAAAAAAGAAAACACATGTTGCTCCTTTCGCGACCCATTTGAGGGTCTGCTGGTACCCCAGGGCCCAGGACAGGCTGGCCCCGAAGGTCCTCAGCATGCATCTGTGGAGCGGCACGTACGGGCCAAAGCCAGGGCCAAGGCGATGGCGAGGGAAGCCAGGCTAGTTCCACGGCTTCCGGAAGGAATAATCCCCAAGACTCAAACTGATTTATACATGACGGCCACACAGTCAGAGAAGCGAGAAACACTTCATAAGCACAACAGAAACGTCAAACTGTATCTAAAAACTCATGTTAACACATATACGCTTCTACAAACACATGCACTCTCTCAACTAGAGGGCTGAAAAGTCACTCTGGTCACCCAAAACGTACTCTTTTTGGACCAGAAAGCCTTTACCAGACACTAACTTTTTACAATTTCTACCACTCTGTCCTAAGCTCACCCTGGCCCTCAGCCTATCTGACCTGTCTCCTGAGCCTAACTGGGCAAGTCTGGCATCTCAGAGGCCATCAAGAGGACCAAGAGGAGGCACTGAAGCCTTCAGAGCAGAAAAGACACCCGAACACTAGGGGCTTTGTGCTCACATCCAGAAGTAAAGGTACCAAGACACAGGAAATGACAGAGGGACACAAGGAAAGTTAAAATTAGTGGAGCACACTTGAGACATTTCTAGCTCCATGCGCACACCTGGAAACCACACTGTTGAATGAAATAAATTGGACGTGTATAAGAACTGCACTGTTACTCTGGTGTGAGGAAGTGAAGTATAAATGAGGAACAAAATGTGTATTAGGTATTGTGAAATAGGAAAAAAATGTTCAAATGGGGAAGTGAAGGGGGGGAAGGAAGGAAGGGAAAAGAAACAAATAGAAAAGGAAAAACATGGAAACAAAATTTTTGCAAATAAGGAGGGAAAGCTGGGCATGGTGGTCCAAGCCTGAGGGAAGAGGGTTTGGAGAGAGAGCAGGAGAGTGGGGAGAAAAACATCAAGCTGTACATGTATGGTACAAATTCCCTGCAATGAATGTGAGCATTATGTATACCTAAAATGTACTAATACACTTAATTAAAAAAATTAGTGGGCCAGGGCCGGGGAGATTGCTCAGCAGAACAAGTGCTTCCCTGGCAAACGTAAGGGCCTGAGTTCAATCCCCAGTTCTGCAAAAAAAATTAGTGGGCCACGGACAGACTGAAAAGTAGGTGGGCTCTTACTGCTTCTGCAATAGCTCAGGCTTTTTTTTTTTTTTTTTTTTTTTTTTTGAGACAGGGCCTAGCTACATAGTGCAGGCTGGCTTTGAACATACTACATGGCCAAGTTGGCCTCAAACTCAGCTATTCTCCTGGCTCAACGCAGCCTCCTGACTGCTGGGCTTATAGATATGTGCCACCATGCCTGGCTAGATTTTTTTTTGTCCTTTTGGAGACAGAGTTTTACTATGTAGTTCAGCCTGCCTTGGACTCACTTTGTAGCCCAGGCTAGTCTTGAACCCACAGCAATCCTCCTGCCTCAGTCTTCTGAGTGCTGGGATTACAGGTGTGCACCACCAAGCCCAGCGTGCCCGACTAGTGTAGGCCCTCTTAATAACACTAATACACTCAGCGCTCCAAATTCTATAGGTTTTGCCTCCATAGCTTCAATAACCACTGGTCAGAAATACTTTGGAAAAAACCCCAATTACATCTTTACTGAATGTGGCGCTCCTTTGCTCGACACAGTGTAACAGCTGTTTGCATAGCATGACACAGCTGAGCAGAGCAGGTCTGCGGCACAGCAAGGAAAGCACAGGTCACATACCAACGCCACGTCATGTCATGCGAGAGGCCTGGGCACCTGAGGGTTTCGGTGCTGGTGGGTGTTACGGTCCTAGAAGAACCTTTTCACAGATGCTGAGGGAAGAGTGATGTACTGAGTGCTTACAGTGCGCCAGATGCTGAGCAAATGCTGCAGAAGCACTATCCCACCAGAACCTCACAAGCCGACGCAGTAGGGGCCACGTTCCCTGTTACAGATGCGGAAACAGGCTCAGAGAGGTAATGAACATTCCAGTTCATATGACTAGTGAATTATTAGGCCACGAACTGGACCCTGCTCGGTCTT